AGTATACACCTAAACTCCAAAAGTATAATTCAACCACTCTATCTCTTGCAAAAGGTAGTGCCTGCGCGATTTCTGATTCTTTCCACCACCTAAAATGTAAAGAGGAAATTACATTTGCAGGATTTGATTATATAGGAAACTATATATGTTAAATCGGTTGATATGATTAAATTAGTGAATGTGTAACTTGTCTATTACCTTGTGATATCACATAGCTCCTTTTTATGCAACCTTTGTAAGATGTTGAAGTCCAATTTAGCAAAATTTAGTAACATTTCACTGTGTGATTCATCTTCTTTGTAAAATGATATGTATTTCCTCGTTCCTACCCTCACTATAATATTGTTGATTGGAAATTTCAGTGCGTTACTGACTTGAGTCGCAAGGGGATCGCTCAAATTAGGCAAAATTAGCTTCAAATGAGTAGTGGTGAAATTAATTGCTTCATCCAGAATTTCTTCATCATGTACTCTGAATTGCGCTGCCTCGTACAAGCTCAATAATCCTTGTACGTCCCTGGCCAGTTCTTCCTTGTAACTTCCTTGCTCGTTAATGAATTTCCCAAAAGCATCTGCTCAGAAACATATAAGTGATCTGATTATGCAAATATTTTTTCACCAACAACTTAAACTCATCGCATAATGTCTAGTTGATATGTGTGTGTGGGGGGGGGGGGTACGTACCCGATGAGACATAATAACCTTGTTGCCTAAGTAATCGAAAGCTTAGAGCAACAACATGAAGGTCGCTTTCACCAAATTCACCAATCCAGTCATCGTAACAAGTATAAAAGCAACTCAACAATTCCTCAATCTCATGTTCAAAATGGTATGCCACTCCAAGCAATTGGATTGTGTTTATAAGTTCAAGTTTTTGCAAAGATTTGGAAGGAGCCATCACTAGCATTTTTCTCACTCCTCCTTTTTGGTCTTCATGTTCCTTCTCTTCCCATTCATTGGCTCCCTACATGATTAAATTTCAATATTTGTTTATAATATGATTTGTTAAAAATCATGAAGAATATTCACAACATAAAGTAATTAATTACCGAAAGATTAGCATAGGCAAGAAAATGGTCTCCCCAAACAGAAGGATGATGATTGGCACATCGACGTGTAATCTCCATCTCACCACCAAGTCCAACCATTTTTCTTCTTCTTTCAAGTTACTACATGAAGAGAGAAAAAAATTGATCAAATAGGTGTTATTCGATAATTAAGGAGCTCAAATGACTAACTTATAATGGCCAACAGGAAGGAAAATGTTTTCTAGAAAAATAAGTTTTTGTTAGTGCATGTTTGGGCGTAAAGATTGTAAAATTTGGAAGAAAGTAATGTTTGTTTTCAAGTTAAAAAAAGATAATTGGAAACATATTCCACACTTACTAGTCACTTTTTATTAGCAAAATATACATATAGCAAGCTACTTCGATGCAAAACTGAATTATTAAAAGAAAATCGGAATATACCTACTAATTTCCTTGCTAGTACTTGTCTCTCTTTAAAACTAAGAAATTGTGTCTTCAATGCAAGTAATTAGGACATGAATCCCTTGCTATTTATAAAGCTTTAGTATGCCAATAGGTTCATTAATATTCCTTTACGTTGATAGATTTCATTTTTATTATTTGTCACATCTGATATATTAAGAAAATATGATTTTTTTCATATATTCCCTAAATCATTGTTTAAGATCTAATACCTAAATATCAATTAATAATTATATATAGTATAATAAAATAATCATATCAATTATTGTTTTGTTAAGAAGTATATCATATTTAAATATAACAAGTGCTCCTCGTATAATAAAGTTTTTATATTATAGTATTTCATCTATTCCATATTAACTTAATTTTTGAGGATTTTTTCATTGTTCAAAATTTTAGATCGATGTTTAAATTTTTTTCCATATTTGCCCTTTCATGTATTGAAAATTTATACTTTCTAGGAGATACATTACATTACTTATAAAGTTATATTTATAATTTCACAAAAAACAGTAGTGAAAATCATAATTTAAATTATGTCTTTAAATATTTTTTAAATAAAAATACATTCCCTCACAAATTCAATTAATATGGAGTAGGAGTTAACCGTCAATGAAAGGCAGTTGTTGATATAGAGACGTGACTTAATGAATGAGACCAATTCAAGTCCATTTTGGGATCTCACTTTGAATCCTCTATTGTTTTTGCTCTAACAAGTGGATTAAATGCTACTTTCTCTCCCTTTAATTTATATGGTTTATCTTTTTTATAACCAGTGTTAAAAAAATGACATTTTTCTATATTTAATAATAATTTAATTTTAAAATTTTCATTTTATCATTAATGAAATGATTTATAACCATACAAATTTCAAAAAAATTCTATGGGTTATTTTTGCCAACAAGTTTCAATTTTTTTTATTTTAAAAAATAAAATGGAACACTATAATATACACAGAGACAATGGTTTAATTTGTAATCTTTTACAAAGTTGATTTTTAGTTTTATGTCATTTGTATAAAAAAAAAATATACATACAAAAAACTGAAACAAACATTTTCTTCGTTTCAGTTGTATAACAGTATAAGTAGTAATAAGAAATTATGTTCTTCATGTGGTGTAAAATCTGGTACACAATAGGAACGTTAAAATATTTAATTTCACTATTTTATTTTAAATGGCTTTTTCCTTCTTCTTATTTAACAATTTTAAGAAAAGGATACCTTATTTTTAAAACTTACAGTCAATAAAAAGAAACAAAATATAAGCCATGTACAAATTGAAGAAAATATTAAAACTAGTTTAAGGACATGATTGAAGATAAGAACATGGTCAAACCGTCAAATTTAGAAAAGAAATTAGAATTTTCATTTTATGAATTTTAAATTTTATAATAATAAATTTAAATAATCATAATTAAATTTTAAATTTAATATTTATATATATTTAATAAATTTATTATTTAAATAAAATCAAATTCGAACAATCACATATGAACCACTAACTTCGTCCTGGTCAAATCCAGTCCCTTTCATCATTCTCACATTGTAATTAATCTTCTAGAAAAGTTGTGTACCCTTTCATTTTCTTAACTCGCCACTAAAAGCGGACTTGGTTGTAAAAATTATTCATTTTTTAAAAAATTTATTTAAAAATTAGTATTTGTCATGAACTTTTTTAAAATTTAGCTTAAAGTGAAAATTTTCTTTTATATTATTTTTAACTCACTTTTTTATTTTTGAAATTCTATTTAAATACATTTACATATTTTCCGCAATAAGTATAATTATATATAACTCAATCCTCAATTTTAACTCTCTAAATTTCAAATAAAGTGAAAATATTTGAAATATATAGTCAAGTACAAAAAATAATAGTTCTAGTTTTATCTTTAATATGATCGCTTCGAAAATTTTAATCTTAATGACACTTATGTTTCCAATCGATATGAGAAAGGGATAATAAAAGGCAATGTGATCAATTGTTTGTGCGATGTGTTGAGAATTGTTTGAAAGGCTTGTTGAATCATTGTTGATATTGTATCCTGATTGTGTTGTTGTGAATTGTGCAATGTTATGAAAATGGCCATCTCTTCATTATTTGTGTGAACATGTCATTTGCATTGTTCTGAGACATGGTTGTGACAAGTGTTATGTGCATTGAGAAAGAATAAGAAAATAAAGAGGATGTACCATTTCGAGGGACGTATTGCGCGCCGCGATGAATACTATATTTCGAGGGACGTGTCGCGCACCGCGACGGATACTATATTTCGAGGGACGTATCACGCGCCGCGATGG